ACACGAAATAAGAATGATTACTAATAAACTTAAACTAAGTATACCAAACCAAGGAATATTAAACACAGGTAGGTATAAAATTATTTTCTATTTAGGTAATAATCTTGTTGCATTGTATGTTAATGACCATCCTTGGATAATCCCATTCAAAAGCAATTGGTCACTTTCTTATATCTATAAACAGACCATACCTCTGCAATTGACCATTTGGTTGCCGGAAGTGCAAATTTGAATGCAAATTTGTTTTTTGGGATATATCGCTCTATTAATATTTCTTTGAACAAATATGTTGGCAAACCAAGCTAACGTGTTTTCGCTGGACCACGCACTTTCACAGAAAATTTGTCTATAGTCTTAAAACATTCCATAATATTATGGATAAGAGGTTGAAAATCACTTACTGTTGTTATTGATGCTTCCTGAAGTAACTTTCGCTTTTTAACGAGCTTATCAATGCATTCAGGCAAGGTCTGCCTCAAACAATGCATTGACTTATAGGGAGAAGAGGAGTTGAGTTTTTCTCAGATTCAGGCTCCGCCCTTGATGATCCAACAAGTTCCATTGTATTGTCCGATGGATGACATCTACAGGCACTCAAGCATTTCGGATATTCCCTCCGGAATAGCATTTCACTTTAGCTTTTGGGTGAAGAACTACGGCTACGAGTTTCGGAAACTTCTTCTTTATGATATCGTAAATACTGTCGAGATGGATGTATGGGGAAAACACTAAAATCGCCAAAGCTCTGATATTGCAGGATTTATTCAAGGTCCGAACAAATAGTAGAACTAAATACTTATTTATTTTTCAAAGTAAAATCATGACAATTTTAATCGAATATCGATCGATCGGTACTTCATCGTCTGTTCCGTTTCTCTCTGGTATCCTTCTCATCAATTCCTGAAATAAGGGTCAAACTATTTCCTTGACCGTGCTGAAAGAACGATTTATAAAACGGCGCGCATCGAATTGCCCGGTTCTACATTACACTTTAAATGCGATAAAAATGGATTTTATAGTTGGATATTGTTCTTACGTGATTTTCCAAAGACCGCTCATCACAAAAAGTGATAAAAAGCGCCTCTATGCAATAATAATAATATTAATAAATTGCCTTTATTGTTGTATATTGTTATATACAAATATACAGTAGAAAAGTCTAGCAAAGGCTACTCCACTTAATCTCTTAAATGTTTAAATTGAAAACTAAATAGGAAGTGATTACATTACATTGATAAAGTAAATATGGAACAATAGAAAGTTATTAAAAGTAAAAATAAAAAGAACAACATTGAAAATCAAATTATTTGAGAAGTTGACAGTTTCAACCTGAAATATTTTTTAAAGAATTTAATTGAATGTGATTTTACTGAATCGGGTATACTATTAAAAATAACAACAGCGTTATAAGAAAATGATCTGCGGAACAAAGATCGTGGCAGTGAGAGTCTCTAGGAGTGCCTTAAAGCTGAACATTACGAAACTGAACTTCAGCTCGTAAGTAGGACGGATTGGATGTGCTAATAATTTGAAAAACCATAGACGCCAAAAAGTACTTGAAAGTACTGTCAATTTTTAGCCAGTTAAGTTCCTGGATTTTGTGGAAAATCCTATCAAATTTACGCAAGCCGAAAATAAATCTGAGACAGCTGTTTTGAATTTTTTGCAAACTGTATTTATTAATACTATCAAGACATGGGTAATAATAATAACACCAAGGTTTTTACTGCAATTCATAATTTTCAAATGTTTACCGTCAATTAATACATAAATATATTTGAGATACTTGTTCAATGTTAGATTTAGGAGAAAAGAATATTACACTGCATGTTTTAGCATTAAATTGATCAAATGAATGCAAATATTCGATGGATGTATAAATATCAGAAATATAAATTTAGAATAATGTAGGTCCAAGGACAGAACCTTGCTGTACACTTGATGAAACAAAACTTACATTGTCAAGGGTAACTTAGCTAAGTAGTTTTCAAAAAATCGAGTCGAAACATCATCGAAGCCGTAGTAAGTCAGTTTGGCGCACATAAGTTTATGGTCAAGTCGATCAAAGGCGTTAGAGTAATCTAACGGTATAAGTGCAGTCGCAAGACCATTATCTAAAGAACTAATAATGTAATCGTTGATGTGTAAAAGTAGACTAATAGTACTAAAACCTTTACGAAATCCAGATTGACTGTTAGTGACAATATGATTAGAAATAACATAATCATAAATTTGTCCATTTATGACTTTCTCCAAAGCTGTTGGAAGAATACTAATTGAGCGAAGGTCTGAGAACTGGTTGGGATTGTTATTTTTTACGAATGGTGTGATCAAAGCAAAATTACAAGTACTAGGAAAATAGCCTGCTTCCAAACAGCAATTAATAATATGTGTAACGTATGGCGCGGTAATACGGAGGTTCATCTGAAGCATTCTAACAGGCGCACAATCAACACCAGCAGAATTTGACTTAAAACTTGCAATAACGTCTTTAATTGAGTAAATAGTTGCGAGCTTAAATGCAAATGACATATTCGAGTTGAAGAAGTGGTTTCGGGGCAATTGTTAATATTGCTAAAAACAGAAGTAAAATAATGATTAATATCACTGCGATTTTTTAAGTTAAGTGGTATTTCCAAAGTCGGTCGATTACAAATTTTAAACAAATTTAAGGTTTTCGATATCTGTTTAGAATTACTAGAATTGAAGCTCGAAAGACAAATATGCAGATTTTTCTTTACGTACTGCACTTGTAACAACATTTCTTGTTTTTGCTTTATAAGCAATGTAGTCAGCGATAGATTTGGATTTTTTATATTTCGACAATAGACCATCTCTCATTTTCATCATTTCACTAATAGTATGTGTTAACCAAGGGGCATAGGTTTTGGTGATCTTAGAAACGACAAAAGAAGCATCTTTATCAAACAATGAAGTTATGAAGAAATTGAACATATCTATTTTCTTATCAATATAATTTTTGTGCAAAGGGATAAGGACAAGATTCTGTTGAAAAGAGTCATTATTGAAATTTCGGAAACATCAATATTTTCGAAGCAATGGCGATTGACGGAAGGCTGCAAATTTGATTCGACAAAAAACTGCAAGACGATCAGGAAAATTATGATACAAAACTCCAGAAGAAGTAGTCATATTAGGTTGGTTAGTATAGATTACGTCCAACAAGATTTGAGAATTCTGAGTTAGACAGGTGAGTTCAGAAATTAATAGAGAAAAATCATATGATCATATGACAATATATTATCAAAATAACCCACAAAGGTATTTACACTGCATGCATTTGTTTTATAAATATTACCAATTAGTAACAGTAGCTTATTAATTTTAAGACGAGCCCTAAGATGCCCAATACCTAGGGGAGGATTGAAAACATTTGGCTGGTCTAATAGAGTTATTGAATTATGAATATACATACCAACACCTCCACCAATACCTCCCGGTATGATCACGTCGAACAAACTTGAAATCTGGAATGTTTGCAGCATGATCAGGAATATTATCGTTTAGCCATGTTTTCGTTAGACAGATTATGTCTAATTTATTTCAGTAAAAACATTAAGTTTAGGAAACAAAGAGAGAATATTAAAATGACATAATTTTAAATTTTTATTGAAATTGAATTCTAGATTTTAAAATTTCAATATTATGTAAGTAATATGAACAAGTTGGACTGTTACCCCTATATTTAAGTTCGTTTTGTGTTTACTGTTAAATTATTTACAACTACTGCAGCAAAAGTCTTGAGCTTGACATACATTTTTCTCCTGGCTTCCTGAACACTTAGGGCAAAGCAAAACCAGAACTGCGGCAATCCTTTTTGTAGTGACCAATCTTGAAAGATTTAAAATAGCATATGACACCAAAATACTTATTAACACTACATTTAGACCATCCGATGAACAACATTCCTTTACGACGTTGTTAAGAACTTAGAAAATAAATAGTTTTTATTATTATCTCTGTTGCAATAATGTAGAACTTATATATATATATATATATATATATATATATATATATATATATATATATATATATATATATATATATATATATATATTCTCACGTATTGATTCACGGATGGAAAAATGTGATGACACTATATTCCGGGATATCATCTGTTCGCTCGTTGAACTCCGACTGGAATCCTGCATCCGACTGGAATCCTGCAAATCTTGCATCCGACTGGAATCCTGCAGACGTTTCGCCAAAATCTCACTTGGCATCTTCAATGCTCGCGCTCCAGTGTTCGAAGTGTTTTCGGAGCGCGAGCATTGAAGATGCCAAGTGAGATTTTGGCGAAACGTCTGCAGGATTCCAGTCGGATGCAAGATTTGCAGGATTCCAGTCGGATGCAGGATTCCAGTCGGAGTTCAACGAGCGAACGGATGATATCCCGGAATATAGTGTCATCATATATATATATATATATATATATATATATATATATATATATATATATATATATATATATATATATATATATTCTCACAGTAGTAATTATTCGCGACTTGACCATCCCCCGTCCCCCGGGGGAGATTTTGTGATTGCAAATTTACAGATTCCCAAGCAACCGAAAAAAAAAAATAAAAATAGTTTGACCATTCTACGAGAGATGTCGCCACCCATTAAGAGCTCAGGTTTCGATCGCCAGATGTCACCCTGAATGGGGGGTAGGGGGTAGTTTTCGCGTTAGTGCCTTTTTGGCAATTTCGCCCCGCTAGGGGTAGTTTTTGCGTTAGTGCCTTTTTGTATTGACGTATTTTTGCGCGAGGTGAAAAAAGCGACCGGTGTGTCGCGCGCGGTCGGGGGATTCGAACCTCGAACCCCGCGCGCTACGTTAGTCGAGCCTAGCCGAGCCTAGCCGACGACGATTTCGCGGCGGCGGCGACGATAAGAGAATTCAACTAATAAAAGGTCGTCGAGGTCGCTTAAAATATAATAATTTATTGACAACATTTTTTTTTTTGCGGATTAAATAAAATGCAACAGGGAAAAAGACGTTTAATGACACTAATATCGAACAAATTGTTTTATTAATCATATACAAAACCCCATCAGGATAGACACATATTAATAAATATATTCGAACGATATGCATATATAAATAGCATATATGGACATAAATAGATACATAAATTAAACACAAATATAAACTACAATCATCTAAAGGAATCGTAACATATTAGTTTGCCAAAAGAAATATCTGGTGGTCGATCAATCAGTGATTTTCCCGCTGTCCTTTGAACCAACTAAATTTCGATGGCCCCAAGCTAGCGTGTACTCTGAGCCGGGTATAAGATGTCGTTTGTCATCCGCGTAAGACAACGCCACCTTATTTTTCAGTTCGACGTACATATCATGTAAATGTGAGCGAAACGAAGACATTTGGCGCAAGATTAGCGTGCCTTCCTCGTGGACAGCGCGCTTATAGTCGTCGAGACTAAGTTCGCGCTGGCTGACCGAGTCAGCAACGCCCTTGGCCTTTTTGGTCAACTCGTTGCCGTCCACATTTACGCAATAAGCTTTCGCTCCCGTACCCAAGAATTCCCACAACGGCCGTCCTGCGTACTCGTCCTTCATTTTACCAAGAACGGACTTGTTTACAGGAATGCCGTGTTGGTTGTTCTCCGAGTAATTAGAAGTATCGAATTTGTCCAAATTTTCTTTCATATCTTCGTAGAAATTTTCGCAAAAAATTTGGACAACGAGGCTGTCGGTATCGGTGTAGAGTAAGACGGCTTTGTCGCCGTACTTAGCCTTTAGATAGCCGTAAAAAAAGTCGTATATGAGAGTCTTGGATATGTCCAAAATGCAAAATCCGGCGTAAATAGGCTTATCATATACGACTTTAGTCCTTTCCATCTGGAGAGCTACTAGATTTTCGCTAAATATGGCGACATTTTTAAAATTAGGTCTCGCGATTAACGCTTCTGCCCCCAACCTTTTCCCAATATTTTCCCAATGGGAAACGAGCCGCACGTCCACCCTTTTGTCCACATTTTCCATCGGTTTTCCAAACACAGCGTTATTCATAAGTTTGAAAAAATCTTTTTCAAACTTATTTTTAGCTGTATTACGCATCGCCGTATTCAAGTCTATGTATTGTTTTAGCCAGGGAGATTGATCGAAAACAAGAACGCGATGGATGCGAACAAGCTTTAAACCGTTGCTTAAAGCCTGTTGCAGATTCCTATAATGCAATACATAATTACGTTTATTGTTTAAATTTGGAATAAGTTTTCTCATTTTGGTTTTCCCGATTGGCGAAACGATGGATTCCGGGCAAAAAGGCAGTTCGTTGTGTGCGTCATGCAGCACTTCCGGATAGTCCAAATCTACTTCGAAAATATAGCCCCTAGGTGAATCGTTGGGGATACGCGTAATATCTAAATTTTGAATTTTGCCCTCCTCCAACCACTCAAAGTTTCCCGTTGGGAGGTATTGTGACATGGCCGCCCCGTATAAATTGGTAGCGTACATGACGTAAGAAATAGGTTTGGAAGGGTCGTAATTAGGTAAAAATTTATTATTAGCCGCGGCCTTTCTCACACTACACTGACTGACTCCTCCGCGGATACCGTACTTCAAGAAGTGTATCATGTCCACGTCGGTCAACAGGTCCAGTTCGACCTTTGTCGCCTTCAGGGCGCTCGTCCATGATAGGCCCGGTGTCGTATAAAACTGACTCGGGTCCAGACCGTACGTTTTCAGACACACCTCTCTGAAGTTTTCAAAAATATCGGCTAAAAGTAAAACGTCGGATTTTAAATAAATATCTGAATATTCGCCTAAAGTTTTACATTTGAACAAATTCCACACAGTCCAGGCACGCTTGTAATCCTCCCTGGTTATGTTGCTCTTTCGCATGGAGTCATAAAAGTCCTCGTGCGATGGCAGTTTGGTTTCGTCTAATTTTGAAAAAGAATCTAGATACGTATATGGAAAAACGCCCTTCTGTCGAATAAGTTGAAATTCTTGTTCATTTTTAAAAATTTTTTTGACTTCCCGACACTGACTATCGTTCAATTTTCGACTCAATCTGTCCAAACTGGATGCCATAAATCGAAATGAATCTAAAAATCGGAGTTTTAAAAATACCCTTTTCCCTTTGCCTCCTTTCTCCGACTCAATGTTATCGACTAGGACATGTTTCGTAAAGGAAATGTAACGTTCCTTGTTTTGGGCGATGACATCGATCTTTTCCCCTTCTTCAGCCATAACTTTTACAAATAAATGACTGTCGAAACCTAAATGGTGAAAAAAGACAGGGATGTGCCGCGGAACTTTGAAATTCAAGTTGCAAGTGAAGTGAGCCGCACCTCGAAATTCGCCAGTCATATGACAATGATCCCTTACTTTTTCGTCCTCTGCATTAAATGGCTTCTCGCAAATGTGACAAGCCACAGCGTTTCGAAAGCCGGTCTCTTGTTCAAACGATAGAGTGGTCATGGGCACGGAAGTTTTCATGAACTTGTTGTAGAGCGCTTTGCAGTCGCTCTCCAACCATTCAATGAAAATTTTGTGTGCGCCCCGACCTCTGTACTGTTTAAAAGTAGACTGGGAATCGTCAAAGTCACATTTGACATAGTAGGCGAAAGAGTAAGGCTCGTGAATATGAGTTTTGACGGTAAACGATTTGTCGGGATTCGGTTCGCCTTCCACCTGTAAAGGAGTCATGACTGTTTCAAAGTCCGCGTACACAACAAAAGGAACTTTTAATTTCTTTTCAAATTCTTCAAATTTCAGCTTATTCGCGGGAACATCTTTACCGTATTTATCCTTGCGCAATTCGGTGGTCGGAAGTTTGATGGAAATGTGAGTGCAGTCGTGTTCTTTATGACGCTTTAGTTTTTCTTCGTTATAAAAATAAACCAAACACCCATCGCATAAAAACTTTGTAGAGGACCTTTTAGTTAATTGTTTTGAAACCAACCGAGACATACTTCTTATTAAACAATAATGATTTTCTCCATAGTCATTACTAATTAATAATAGGTTTACATGTCTCTCTTTACGAGATTCAGTAAAATGCAAAGGACCAACGACCTCAACATCATTACGGACTTTGTTATAGACTCTCTCGAGGCCATAGACATTGACCGAAATTTCATTAAGTCGTTCAAAAGTGGATATGTCCTTAAGTTTAACGGGAAAATCGATACCTGTAAAATCCAGCTCGTTCTGAAATTCTACATAGTTACTGACCCTGTTAGCGTTATTTGTCCAGTGAATTGGGTGAAGAGCAGCCAAGATCGACCACATAAAGCATTTTTCGTCCGTATTTTGCAAGTTCAAAACAGCTTTTTTGGCTTCGATTTCCTTGGGCAGGTTAACATAGGACGACGCCCTTAGGGGATTGTACTTGTTAATCCCTATTTCTAAATGGAGAAGTTCCTCCAACGCCCAGCCTGTAAAAAAGAGAAAGAAATTAGTTCGGAAATATACATTTTTATGAATCATACCGCTGTCCCTTTCCTGAAACTCGGACGCTTTGGTAGCCAAGATGTCGACGAACTGGACGTATAGCTCCTCCAGATCGGTGTTTCCGCTCACCAGCCGATATTTGGTATTGAAGGACTTGACCTCCTCTTGTTCCTTCGTCTGCAAGAGGAAGTTTCCGAATAGCTCCATACCGACTTTTACGTTGCCGTAGCGTCGGACGTTCGACTCTACCAACGTAAGGATTTTGGACCTAAGGTGGTCCAAGAAGCCCTTAACGTCGGTAGGGTTAACGGTGGACGCCAGACGGTATGTAACTATGCGGTTACGGAAGGAGGTCTGTATCATTTCTACTCCTGGCTCCTGCACCACGCTGCATTTTTGGCGGTGAGCCAAAGTACGCAAGTGTCCTTGCCATCTCATTGCAGGAATGGTCAAGTTACACTGCGTACAATGGCGCGTGGATGATGGTGATGATGATGATGTCGAAGCTATAAAATACAATATGAGAATTGTTTGGGATATAAAATCAAAAATCCTTACCTTCCGGTAGGTCAAGTCTCGGGCGCTTGGGTTCGTCTGCAGCAATAGGGGCGGCGGCGGGTCTTTTCGCCTTGGGAACCTCATGCTTCTCGCGTTTATGGCGTCGGAGAGCCCCCTCGGATTTGTATATCCCGCCGCAAACGTCACAAATTTGTACTGCTGCGCGACAGTCCCCGTGCCTCGCCAGGTGGTCTTTACGGCTGAACGAGCGGTTGCAATATTCGCAGGTGAACATTTTTATTTGCTGCGAGGAATAGGCGTCTCACTCTCCAACTGTTCCAGATCTCTACTTGACACTTACCTTTTTTAAGTGGTGAAACACAAACAAAAATCCAAAGAATGAAGTCTCACTATGGCGGCGGTCACTTGTTAATTAAGCCAATTTTTCTGGGGTAATGAATTTAAAATTACATTCGAGAACGTTCCTTCAGAATAATTAAGATTTGTGTTGGCGAGAATTGCGCAATATAACGCAACCCGCTGATAAAATTGGTCGTAGTTAGCGACCTAACCTAACCAAACCGTCGTCGTATGGGGCCGCTTCGCTTCGAAACTCGACCGTTGGTCGCGGCGTGAATGTAAATTGCAGCGCGATTGTGTGCGATGACTCAGGCGTACCGCCGCCGTCGCGTTTGACAACTGGCTGATATCATTGCCCGCCGCGTCGCCGGTGTGCGGCAGCGGATGCATGACATCATCGCTTTGCGAAATGTTTAAACTAAACTTTGGCGGGTGAGATCATCGCGTCGCCTGCCTTCGCCGCAAAAAAAAAATGTTTTAAACGAGACTTTCATATTAGACCGCTTAGGAACGGCATACGTGTTTTCCTGCGACACAAGAAATGGTTTAATCGAAACGTTTGATATCCTTACCGCATGCGTTTCCTTCGACATCGAGTTTATCGTCGCATTTCCTTCGACGCGAACAAAAACGCAAAAAAAAAATCTCACTCCGTAATTTCATTTTGTCAGTATGTTATACTTTGCGTCACCAAAAATAATTGTTCGATCGCAATGCGAAATAAACATTCCTGTTTAAAGAAGCAAAATGGTCCATATCTGTGTCGGACCTGTAGAAACCTGTTCCGTAGAGGTTTTGGGTCTGTTTAAGGCTGTCCTAGACCTGTTCGAGAGCTGTTCCATAGATATTTTAGACCTAATTTAAATCTGACCAAAAGCGTCCTGGCTAACATTTGAAATAAAATAAAAATATTTTAACGCGATTTTATTTTTATATCAAAATACAGTTACTGAATATTTTTTCGTTTTTATACAATATGTCCTGGAGCCAAATTTTGGAAATATCCGATTTTTGCTTTGTATTCTTCCGCACGTAAGCGCAGTATTTGGAGATCGGCCTGAACAACTGCTATCTGAGTTTCGAGCTGCTGGATACCTTCTTCACATTGCATCAGCTGATTTTCCAAATTGTTTTTCAAATTGAACGCCTCACAAACTATCCCTTTTTCGTTGTCATCTTTGAACGCCTCGAACCATTCTCCTTGTGCTTGCGGTAGAGATTCAATTTTTATTTTCTTAACTCGTGAATTTGCAGCAGTACGCTTACGTTTTGGAATATCTGTTGGTGGCTGCGAAGGCGGTGGACCCATCAAACCATTCTCTTGCAATAAATTTAAAAAATTATCCGGCAACACAATTTGTTCCATGTCTGTCTCGGACGCTCACAAAATCAAAAATAATAGAAGAAATTTATAGGATATTCGCGGTGTCGATCCATGAATCATGTGACTTGTCCAAGCCCAACCAGCGCACGAGAACCTTATTTTCTCGTTTGCGCAACACCTTTTCGACGAGATAGACGTCAGGGTTAACGGTTTTCTGCAATTCTTCCTGGTAAAAAGCGCCCATTACAGGCTTACCCTTCATATCTTCCAACAGATAAGTTACCGGATTTGTAATCTGCACTTTTACGATTTTAAACAATTCCGTGGTCCAGTTGGGAGTATAACCTTTGCTAAACACGTGCTTGGTCTTGCTGATTCTTACAACGTCGTCCAGTTTAAGTTTAGATGGCCCTACAATTTTCAAGTGACTGTACGCTGATTTCAGCAAACTAGGCGCGTTATCTTTGTTCACTTCTTTAGGTTTCATTCCGGTGGTCCTGTGCACGTTACTGTTATATTTTTCGACAACAGAGGATAAAACATCTATCCATTTGTAGGTGCCGTTTAACGAAAAATATCTAAATAATTTTTCCTTGAGAGTACGTATAACTCTCTCGGCTACGGCAGCTTTCACGTTGCTATATGTACTGTAGTGATTTATGTCAAACCTACCCGTCATTTTTTTAAAATGGATATTATAAAACTCTTTGCCGAGATCAGTTTGCAGATTTTGCGGCCGGCGTCCTTCTTTGAGAATTTGGGTAAACGCTTTGGTAACTTCAACACCGGTTTTTGTTTTTAACGGTCGACACCACACGTATTTTGAAAAGCAATCGATCACGACTAGTATGAATTTAAAGTTTTTATTTTGTTTCGCATATCGGTCTAGCTGAGCCAAATCCGCTTGCCACAAATCATCCAGCCCTCGTATTATAGTTCTGCGACGCGCGTAATTTCTGCGTGCCGGCTTGTGCAGCTCTCGGACGAGTTGTGCTTTCTCACTGCTCATTACTTTGTCGATTGCCCGTCAATTTGAATTAAACACCATTTTAAATCATTCATTAGTTGTTGTTGCTAACTGATTTATTTGGTCCAAACTCGTATTGTATTTGTTCACCCATTGTGTATATCGGTTTTGTTGTGGCAAAAGTTTATTAAGTTGGGAATTGATATCTGCCTGATAGCTCTTTAATGTCTTCTCAAGCTCTTCTATTTTGGATAAATGTTTTTCCAACTCCTTCATTGAATTATCGTATTTCTCGTTAAGGTGGTGATTAATGTGTGTACCAAATTTATTAATAGTCATGACAGCGGTTGTTACTCAAATAATTTTCTAACTCTCAGTCGTGCTTATTTTATAAGATAACTTTTCCCTCTCTTAGTTCTTCAATAATTGAAGCTATTTCGTTCTCATGTCCCGTGTGCCCCGCAGCAGTAGATGCCAATAACAGTCTTAATCTATCGACAAGCTCGTTAACATTATCCCAATAAATATAATCTGTATTTTCTTTATTTGATTTTAAAGTTAACCCCGTCCCAGTTTTGATTGTCCTATAAGGCGGAGGCACTTTAGAAAATGCGTCAGCTAGTCGTCTCACCGGGTTTTTTGTTTTTGTTATTCCTCGCTCCTGTAAATAAGGTCCAATTATATTTATATATTTATATGATGCATTTCCTTGCACTTGTCCATTAGGGTCATGGTTTCTCCGATACGCGTTTGTTCTTTTCAGTATATCCATATAATTATCTAGATCTTGCGATTTGAAACCGACCGGCACCTTCTTGAAAAGTAACTCATACAAACCCACAGTCCCAGGGTATGTAATACCTTGTACCTTCACATCTTTACCGACAATTTCCACAGCTTTTTGGGTTAAGCCCAGAAAAAATTTATTGTTTTCTATGTCATGAACGATACCATAATTATGGTCAAATATATGTTGGGTATCTTTTACGCTGTCATCAATGTATGTTCGTGGTAATTTATTAAAGTCATTCAACCATTGCTCGTAAGCGGGAGTGTCGACGTAATCCTGTATAGCTTGCTTAGTTTGTTCTAAAATATCTGACAGATTTCCCAACGTAGTATCGCTGTCCGAAAGACCCGTACTTTCAGCTACAACATTGCTTTGTTGTTGGATCGACGGAAAGGAGGTATCAAAAAATGAGGGCAATTCTGAAGGTAAGATTGGGGTTTTTCCGGTTCTTTTCTCCTTTATTTTGGTAGGCGTCGAGGTTAACACTTCATGTTTAATATTTTCTTTTTCTTCAAACGGTTCTTGTTTGATATCCGTTTTATTTATTGATGAAATTAATTGCTGCAGAGGCTGAGTCATCGGTTTATAGGTTTGTTCGAGTTGCGTCTGGGATTCACTTGCGGCTTGTTTTAGCCTTTGATATTTTTCTCTAACTGCGTTTCTTGATTTTATTAGCTCCGTCGCTAGGCGTTTATCCATTTTGGGATATTATATATAAATGAAGGAATCGAAGTTTTTCCTATATCTGCCCTTATCTAACTCACAATCTTTGTCAATCACAAGAAAATTATAAGGTTCGTTCCAGCAGTACACACAGATATTTCTAAACTGTTCAAATGACATGTCCAACATACAGTGATCGTTATATATATGGTTTAAACTCATCATGTCTTGCTTGAATAAAATCAGAAGGTTGGCGTTTTCCCTGATAAGTCGCTTGAGTATAGAAGAATATCCTTGAAAAATAAAGAAACAATCGGTGTTTTTATGCCTACCGTGAGTGAAATAATCTCTAATGACACTTTGGTCGTGACAAGGAATATCATCAAATATTATAACAGAATTGGGTTTAATTTCCTGAGGAGAAACGATATTCTCATCGATCTCAAACTCAAAAAAGCCAATCTCTTGTAAAGGCTTTAGCAGTTCTCTCAAATACACGTATTTTGGCTGTTGCAGGGATTTGGAATATAAGTAAAAGTTTTCAAATCTAATTCCATTAGGATGTTCGAGCAATGATAACATGACGTTGGTTTTACCCGAATTTGAGGGTCCTACAATTAGTGCCCTCTTGCAACTACCTCCAAAGAGATCGCCGTGCTTTTGAAATTCGCGGACCAAGCTTGCGTCGTGGTTTTTTACGGGTAAAGAAAAGGCTTGCTTAACAACTTTCATTTCGACTGAGGCATTAACAAGAACCTGCAAAAGTATTTATAGCATATTTCCTAAATATTTAAACAGTATTTCCAAACACTCTCATGATTGTACATCGAAACAGGGCGAAAGGTTCAGGATTGGTAAATAAACTTATAAACAAACTTCCTATCGAACTGCATATTCCTGGTTACCAATTCTGCGGACCGGGTACTCATTTACAAAAGAGAATAAATAGAGGTGATCCAGGTATAAATCCCTTAGACGCTGCTTGTAAAGAGCACGATATAGCATACTCTCAGTCTAACAATTTAACAAAGAGACACGAAGCAGACAAGATCTTAGAAGATAAAGCTTGGCAGAGGGTTAAAGCAAAGGACTCTTCGTTTGGAGAAAAAACAGCCGCTTTAGGCATAACAGGTGTAATGAAAGGAAAGCGAAAATTGGGAATGGGTGTTAAAAAAGCAAGCAAAATGAAAGCGAGCAAAAAAAAGCGTATTATAAAAACACCTAATAAAATTGGTGGATTTTTACCTCTTTTACTACCGATATTGGGAGCACTTGGCGCGCTACGCGGAGGAGCGGCAGGTATCGCGAAAGCAGTAAACGATGCTAAAGCGGCCAAAGAGCAGTTGGCAGAACAAGAACGTCATAACAGAGCCATCGAAGCCCAAGGCAAAGGACTATACGTAAAACCGTTTAAAAACAGTAGAAGTGAAGGAAAAGGTCTTTATATTAAACCATATAAGGGCGGTGTTGTGACAAAGGAGAAAAATACCCAAAAGAGAAAAAAAAAGTCCAAATAAATTTACCTCGAAGAGCTTTGACAAATTTCGATCTGGAAAAATATGCAAAAATACTACAAATTCCGCATTTCAGGGGCGTTTTTATGCGTGATAATTTACCGCGAAAAATTAAAATTGAAGAATGCGGAATTGTTAACTTGGATAGTGAGAAAAACCAGGGAACTCATTGGGTCAGCTACATAAAGGACAAAACTAAGGCTTTCTACTTTGATGGTTACGGAAATTTGAAACCGCCTGTAGAATTAGTTAA